CAGCTTTTCCCAGAGAAAGGTTGTCATACTCTTTAAAATACAAGACAGTTTGTTCATCATTTCCTTCCTTCCTTCCTTCCTTCCTTCCTTCCTTCCTTCCTTCCTCCCTTCCCTCCTTTCTCTCCCTCCCTCCCTTCCTTCCTCCCTTCCCTCCCTTTTCCTCCCTCCCTCCCTCTCTCCTTCCTTCCTTCCTTCCTTCCTTCCTTCCTTCCTTCCTTCCTTCCTTCCTCCACACTCAGTTCTCATGGCTTACTCCTGGCTCTGTGCTTAGGGATCATTCCTGACTGACCACATATATGGTGGTGAGGATTGAATCTGGGTCAGCTGAGTGAAAAACGCAAGCACCTTACCCATGATACTATCACTTGGACCGCCACTCTAAGTTTTCAAGAGAAAAAGTAGCAGAAACCATTGATAAGTTTAAAAAAGAAAGCCAGATAAAGCCAGATCAGAATCAGGGATAAATATTAATATTAACTTTCCCCTAGAAACCAGGTTCTTCATTGCAGAAAATATCAAGAATGAGTCAAGAGAAATAAAGTTCAGAAAGCAATTTATTAATGCTAAGTACAAACTCAAATATACTTACCATGTAGGCATTATCTAAAGAGAGTAATGTTGTTTACAAGTAAGATGTGTTTACCAAAAGTGAAGAGTATAAGCTCAGTGCTCAGTGTAGGCATGGGGTAGGGGAGAAGAGAGAGAGGAGAGTGGTGCCATATTTATTTATTTATTGCTTTTTGGGTCACACCCGGTGATTCACAGGGGTTACTCCTGGCTCTGCACTCAGGAATTACTCCTGGTGGTGCTCAGGGGTCCATATGGGATGCTGGGAATTGAACCCAGGTCGGCCATGTGCAAGGCAAACTCCCTACCCGCTGTGCTATCTCTCCAGCCCCGTGGTGCCATTTTTATAAGGTTATATAGATAGAAATGGGGGAAAACTGGGGTCTGGGTAAGATCACTACCAGGACATCTGTCTTGCAAGGAGGGACCATGAGTTTGATCCCTGAACCACCCCATGTGCACTGTGCAGGATCCCAGCAGCACTGCTGTTTGGGATTCCCAGCACGGTAATGGAGCATGCCAGCACCACAGCCAAGGTGTGCCACCCAGGGCCATTGCAGTGATAGCATCAACAAGGAAACAATTCGGGTAAAGTAATCAGGGGTGGAATATGATGGGATTTCAGAAAAAGGGAGAGTTTTTATGTGGTTGTTTCTCAGACTTAAAGCACTACATGGTTGGTCACTTGGTTGCTGAGGCTGTTGTAAATTTAGGGTGTTTACTCCTGGCTCTGCACCCAGGGATCACTCCTGGTATTCTCATGGTGGCATATGAGATGCCAAGGATCAAACCTACGTTGGCTGCATGCAAGACAAGCACCCTACCTTCTGTACTATTGCTCTGGTCCCTAAATTTAGATATTGAAATGCGGAGGGTCCGCAAACCACTCACCATCCTGCGGAGGTGGCCCTAGGATCTGTAGGTGCAGGGAAGGACCAACCGAATGAACACAAGACACAAGAGACAGAGTACAGTTTAGAAACAGAAAAAGGGACAGACTTTATTGAGGGATACAGGCTGTTTATATAGGGTCCGGGCAGCTCAGTTAGGAGCAGAAGCAGTATAACCTTATATGGTAAGATCAGCAACAAGAGCTTTACCTAACATTCAAGGTAGACATTTGTACATTAAAGGGTCTTGTGGCAGTAGGTGTATCCTGAGCTTTACATTTGTATATCAAAGGGTCTTAGGGAGTAGATGTATCCTGGAGGTTACTATAGATAAGGCCAGATAAGCTAACTGTCAGCCTGATGTTGCTTGCTATAGATCAGGCATTCACTGAGATCAGGAAGTCCTGGGAGACTGTCACCAATGTCTGTTCCAAGCAGTTCTTAGTATGGGAACCACGGCCAGGGTCTATGAGAGGGCTCTTGGCTTCCCACATTGAAACATATTTAAAGCAGAAATTGCAAATGAAAAAAATTATTTTTTTATCTACCCAGTTAATAGAACAAGCATGTCTTTGTAACTTGCAGTGATTGTGTTTGTTTCTTTTTTTTTTTTCCCCACTCCAATCCCTATTTATTTCTTCTATGGGACTAGGGATCATATCCAGGGCCGCCTACATATGAAGCACCTACTCCACTACTGAGTAGCATCCCTGGATCCTCTCTCTGTCCTATTTTGTTTTGTTTATGGGCCACACCCGTCCTTGTTCAGGGCTTACTCTGTGTTCAGGAATCACTCCTGGCAGTATTCAGAGAATCCTAAGTGGAACAGGGGATCAAGCCCTATACACTAAGGTGGTAGATGTTTTCTTCATCAATGTGAATATTGACATTATTCTTTAAAGTTTTGTACAATGTAAGAGGTAGCACTGCACTGTAGCACTGTCCTCCCATTGTTCATCAATTTGCTCAAGAAGACCGAGTAACGTCTCCATTGTGAGACTTGTTACTGTGTTTGGCATGTTGAATATGTCATGGGTAGCTTGCCAGGCTTTGCTATGCGGGAGAGATACTCTCGGTAGCTTGCCAGGCTCCCCGAGAGAGATGGAGGAATCGAACACGGGTCGGCCAGGTTGGCCACGTGCAAGGCAAATGCCCTACCGCTGTGCTATCACTCCAGACCATGTAAGAGGTAATTTTAATAATATGTGTAAGGGGCTAGTGAAAGAGTGTAGGAGGTTAAGCACTAGCCTTGCATGTGGTTGCTTTTCCAAACCTATGGGTTCCGGGGCCGAGACCTCCAAGCCTACTCGAATTGGAGTCGAGCATCTTCCACCCAGATCCTCCAAATTCCAGTAGGCGGGGGTCACACCCACCACCTGGCCCCCTGGCGCCGTGTAATCCCATCAGCGGCCAAGACTCAGAGACTATAAAATCCAGATCCCGGAACCGCGCGGCAGCATTCGTGGCCGCGCGACATCTTATCAGAACTTTTTTTTTTAATGACATCTTATTGTCTTATTTCTACTTTGGACAAACTTGCAGGCTATTCAATGTAGCCTGCCCACAGGGCAGAGTCTGGCAAACTCCCCGTGGCGTACCAAATATGCCAAATACCAGTAACAATGATGGGTCTCATTCTCCTAAATAGCCTTGAATATAATCTCAGGGCTAGGATGAAAGAGACGTTACTGGGGCCTGCTCGAGGCAATCGACGAATAACAGGATGATGAAATGAAAATGAAATGGTTTCATCCTCAGCACCACATACAGTCTTCTGTGCCATCTGAACATAGAGCCAGGAGTAGCCCCTAAGCACCACCTTTTGTGGCCCAAAACTGCCCCTTTCACCAAAAATAAAAGTGAATTGTCCAGAATCAAATACCTAGTAAGAGAGAGAGAGAGGGAGCACTTGAAAGCTAGTCTGTCTGGTGGGGACCTCTGCTCTACTGCTATATTTGTGGCATAAATAAATATCGGATTGAATATGTCTATTTTAATGATTGAATCTTGACAATGTCATGGTTTAATTAACTCAACTTTCTTGGCCTAGAAGAATTTTGTGTTTTATTTTGTGTGTTTAATCTACGTAGGTTTTATTTTTGGGTTTTTTATTTTGTTTTGTTATGGACCACATAGCACAGCGGGTAGGGCGTTCGCCTTACAAGCGGCCAACATGGCCGACCCGAGTTCGATTCCTCCGCCCCTCTCCGAGAGCCCGGCAAGCTACAGAGAGTATTCGATATGCCAGACACAGTAACAACAAAGTCTCCAATGGAGATGTTACTGGGCCCGCTCAAGCAAATCAACGATCAACGGGAGGGCCTTTACCTTTACCTTATGGACCACACCTGGTGATGCTCAGGGGTTACTCCTGGCTCTGCAATCAGGAATAACGCTTATGAGAAGCTGGGGATTGAACCCAAGTAAGTTGTGTGCAAGACAAGTGCCCTACCACGTGTACTATCTCTCTGGCCTGTCTACATAGTTTTAGAGGGCAGAAAGTACCTTCTGTGAGAAATAAAGGGAGATGTTTTCTAGAGGAATACCAAGAAAAATACTTCTAGAAATGAGATTTTTTTGTTCTGTTTTGGGGTCAAACCCAGCAGTGTTTAGGGTTTAACTCCTGTTTCTTCACTCAGGGATCACTCCTGGTGATGCTTGGGGGGACCATAGGAGTGCTGGGACTGAACCTGGGTTGGCTACATGCAAGGCAAATGTCCTATATGCTGTACTATCTCTCCAGTTCTAAAGTTTTCTTGTTGTCTTATTGTTTGTTTTTTGGGCTATACTTGGAGGTGCTCAAGGTTCACTCCTTACTCTGTAGTCAGGGAACACTTCTGCAGTGCCTGGGAGACTATATGTGGTCCTTGGAATTGAACCTGTGTCAGCTATGTCAAGGCAAATGACTACCCTCTGTGCTATTGCTCTAACCTCCAAAATAGGAACTATTATTAAAAGATCAGCCAATAAACTGATATTTGAATTATTGTAACCCTCTCTAGATATTTCTCTCATAAAAGGGATCCCTATATTAAATGGGAGATTATGTAATCCAATGCCTACTGTCTTTCCCAGTTGTAAGATACTATGATTCACTGAGTTTCTCTGTATAAAATTAAAGGTACTTGGGAAATATGATTATGAGAACAACTTCAACTCTTTCAGATTTTTCAGAAACAAATATTCATTTTTTTTGCCTTTGGGGTCACACCTGGCGGTGCACAGGGGTTACTCCTGGTTCTGTACTCAGGAATTACTCCTGGCGGTGCTCAGGGGCCATATGGGATGCTGGGAATTAAACCGGGGTTGGCCCCATGCAAGGCAAATGCCCTACCCGCTGTGCTATTGCTCCAGCCCCCAAATATTCATTTTGTAAATGTATATACAATTATGAGAAATATGAGAGTCTGGGACATAGGGATATTTTCAGTGTTCATTATTGAGGTGATATAAAACAGAAAATGTTTAATAACGAGTATTTTCTGGTAATATGTCCCAGTCAAACCCATTTCCTACTAACCACTTTTTCGGTTGTTATTTTAGCTGAAGGAAAATTTAAGAGTCACAGAGCAGAAACACCAGGAGACTCTGAGAAAATTGGAAGCCAGGTTTTTTGAAGAAAAGGTATGATATTTGAAATCAATTAAGGCATACTCTATTTTATTTTATTTTATTTTGGCTTTTTGGGTCACCTAGTGATGCACAGGGGTTACTCCTGGCTCTGCACTCAGGAATTACTCCTGGCGGTAGCTCAGGGAACCATATGGGATGCTGGGAATAGAACCTGGGTCAGCCGTGTGCAAGGTAAACACCCTACCCGCTGTGCTATCACTCCAGCCCCAAGACATACTTTATTAAAACAAGTGTATTTACATACACTAGGAGACATACTAATTATGTAATTATAGGAGTTACTCTTTAGTTGTTGGTGCTAAGCCAGGACATTGGACGAGCCTCTAGATGTTGCCCTACAAGCAGGAAGCAGAACCGAGGCCCCACTTTTACATTAAATGGGCAAGCTAAACTTGTACTTGGAGAAGTACAGCATACTCCCATATGCCAACCTGGTCATACATTATCTTGGCAGTACAAAGCAGCAGTTTCCCCCTCTCTTACACATCCTTAATCTGGGTTGGCCTTCAAGTATCGATATGAGCCTTTTCTTTGCCCTATGTGTAACCAACCACAAAAATGTGGGGGGATGTAATCTATAGAGCCTATGTGTCCAGCTCCATATCTTCCTCTGACGTTTTAATTATGACAACATAACTTTGACAAGACAATATACCCTGATGTTCTTTTGATGAATGCTCATCCTCTGTTGGTACTCTCGCTAGTGATTCTTTCTCTGTGATGTAGTCATTAGGATGTAACTGATTAAAAAATAGAATAAAAGGAGGCCTCTGGAAGTCACTCTTTGCCTCGAGCCAGATTGATGGCTTGGCCCTCCATGCTCTCTACATTACTCTCGCATGTCTTGTCTCTGTGCCTCCGACCGAAAGAATATTCATGCAACATTTGGTATCTTTTAAAAGATTGTTATTGAGTCACAGCAGGATTTTAAAAAAAAAAGGCTAACAGAATCCATTCTGAATATTTTCAAGCCTACCCTTTATTTCTACTCCCAGTTAGAGATTCAGGAAATCCTCAAGAGGGATCATTTGTCTAAAGGTTCAGGACACATCCAGCTGAACTTGGAGTTCCCTGTCGAACTGAAGCTTTAAGGCCACTAGGACTGGAGTGGCCCACTCTGCTAGGTGTGCAGATGCGTCCTTGGTCAAGCTGAGCTGAGGATGTTTGTGATGGGGTGTGGGGAGCTCAGAATTGTTCTTTAGATGGGACTGGAGTGATAATACATTTGTCTTGAACATGGCCAACTCAGGTTCAAGAAGTGACTGCAGGAGTGACCCCTGAGCAGGGAGGGAAGAATAAGCACTAAGCACAGCTTGTGTGACCCAAATCCTTGCCTCCAAAATGTTCCTTCGCATATCACAAGTTTTTGTGTGTCTGAAGTTGATTCTCCAAATTGTGGGAAGTTTAATTTCTCTTCCTTAGAATTGTTTCAGTGGCCCCATGGTTTTTCTTTAATCCATTAAGTTCTACCTCACCCTGACAAGTACACACTGCAGTGCCGCTGCTTCAGAGCAGTGGATTTTCCAGTTGACTCTGGGTTTTCATCTTGTACATGAGCTGGCCCCCCCTGCTCTAAGACCGATTTTCCTCAGGTTATCGTAGGGTTTTGTTTTTTTCAAATTTACTAATTTCTTTTGGGGGGGCACACCCGGCAATGCTCAGGGGTTCCTCCTGGCTCTGCACTCAGGAACCGCTCCTCATGGTGCTTGGGGGACGATATGGGATGCTGGGAATCAAACTCTGGTTGGCCATATGCAAGGCAAGCATCCTACCTGCTGTACTATGGCTCCAATCCTGTCCTTTCAAATTTAACCCTCTGTGTTTCCTTGTATCACCAAGTTCTTTTCCACTTCCACATTGTTTGTGTTTTGGGGGTGAGAGAAAGTGTGTTGTTGGGGCACACCCAGCTGTGCTCAGGGATCACTCTGGAAGTGCTTAGGAGACCACATGTGTAGTGCTGGGGATCCAACCCGACTTAGCCTCATGCAAGGCAAGAGCCTTAACCCCTGTGCTGTCTCTCCAACCCTCCCATCTCTTGGTGCTTTTGTACTTGTTTATTCCTTCCTCTGGCTTATTTTTATTCTCTAGTGCTCAAATGTTATTTCCTCAGAGACAAATTCCCCAAATTCCAATCTAAAATTAGTCCCTGGGGCCAGAGAGATAGAACAGGGGTTAAGGCACTTGCCTTGTATGAGGCTGACTCTGCTTTGATTCCTGGCACCACATACACTTCCCCAAGCACTGCCTGGAGTGACCAAGAATAGCCCCTGGGATACTCTTCATGTTAGAACAGGGGTTAAGACACTTGCCTTGTATGAGGCTGACTCTGCTTTGATTCCTGGCACCACATACACTTCCCCAAGCACTGCCTGGAGTGACCAAGAATAGCCCCTGGGATACTCTTCATGTTCAATGGGAATTTACTGAATAGATACATGTGTCTGACCCTATTGTATTTAGCAGAAATTTCTCCACGTACACTTTCCAATGTTTATGTGGACATTATTTTCCCTATTTATATTTTCTATTTCTTCCTGAGTGGTTAGGTTGTTGGGTGCCCTAGGTTCCTGTATTCACATTCTTCTCTTTGTTGGCTGCTTTACAAATATTTGAAGTACTTCAGGTTATGGAAACAGAAGTATTCCATTGGACATTATACCTTTGCTTAACCTTTTGATGTGTAAGAGTTTTTGCTAGTAATATGGCTCTGTGTTAAGATGCCTGTTTCACAGGGCCTTACAGTGGGTAAGGCACTTGCCTTGCAGATATCTGACCTCTTTTTGATCCCCAGCACCTCATACAGTGTCACCCAAGCCTGCCATAAGTATTCTCTAAGCACAGAGCCAGGAATAAGCCCTGAGAACTGTCAGGTATGGCCCCCAAACTAAATAAAATAAAATAATTATTTTGGGGCTGGAGAGATAGCACAGCAGGTAAGGAAGGTGTTTGTCTTGCACCTGGTCAACCCAGATTTGATCTCCAGCATCACTTATGGTCTCCAAGTACCTCAGGAATGATCCTGAGCTCAGAGCTAGGAATAGGCCCTGAGCACTGATGGGTATGCCCCCAACAAAGCAAAATATAAAATAAAATACCTGTTTTCATTTTTTTTTTAGCGCCGGTTAGAGCAAGAAGCTGAGAGGAAGATTCTATCACTTGCAGAGAGGGCGCACCAGGAAGCTGTTGTGTGAGACTGTCGGCCTTTTCCTTTAACCTCTCTTACTTCTTGGCTGGTCGGCTTCCTCTTTCACTTGTGTTTTGTTTTCTGGCTTCCCTGCCTGTTTCTTCCTCTTTGTGTCCCCCCTCCCTTTTGCCTTCAATCTTTATAAAAGCAGCATGCCTTGGGGAAAAGATCCTGGGCTTTGAAGTAGACTTTGGTTTCTCCACATGTATCCTAACTGACCAGAGGAAGATTTCTTTTTTTTTTTCTTTTTGGGTCACACCCGGCGATGCTCAGGGGTCACTCCTGGCTCATGCACTCAGGAATTGCTCCTGGTGGTGCTCGGGGGACCATATGGGATGCTGGGAATCGAACCTGTGTCGGCCATGTTGGCTGCGTGCAAGGCAAACGCCTTACTCGCTGTGCTATCGTTCCAGCCCCAAGAGGAAGATTTCTTAACAATCTGGAGGAGCTTGGAGGATGGGTCACACCAGCTTGGAGGTTGGGTCACACCCAGCAGTTCTGGGAGGTTATTCCCAATTCTGTACCTGGGGGTCATTCCCAGTGGTGCTTGGGGGTGAGGGAGATCATGTGGGGATTGGCCAACATTGGCCACTTAAAAAAAAATAACTCCTGTTCTATCTCTCTGGCCCTTACCTTCTTTGAGATCAGTTTTATTCACAAAATGAGATTAACAATAGCAACACTGCCAAGATACCATGAAGTAGGTTAGTGAGAAGAACGCATCACTGTCTGGGTTAAGTAAACCCTCAGTTTCCATTGTTTGTTTCTTGCTCATGAAACAATTCAGTGTGGGTCTAGCTGCTCTTCTCCCTTTGTGGTTCAGGAAGCTGGACTTCCTTCATCTTGGGATTCCTCCCACCCAGTCACAGGGACAAAGAGCCTGGGAAAGTTAGACAGCTCTTGATTGCCTTGGACTGGAAATAATCTTTCACTTATCCATGGCAAAAACTTTGGGTATCACAGATCTTAACTAAATAAGTGTTGGTCTTTTTTTTTCTTTTTTGCTTTTTGGGTCACACCCGGTGTTGCACAGGGGTCACTCCTGGCTCTAGCACTCAGGAATTATCCCTGACGGTGTTCAGGGGACCATATGGGATGCTGGGAATCGAACCTGGGTCGGCCGCGTGCAAGGCAAACGCTCTACCCGCTGTGCTATCGCTCCAGCCCAAATAAGTGTTGGTCTTAATGATAAAGTAATTGTTTTAGTTTGGTAACATCTAGGACTTAGACCTGTGTGTATGTTTCTATTTCAGGCAATTGAACAATGTGGGAAGGAATGTTTTTAAGGAGAATATTTATCTCCAGAAAGCCCTCACGTACCACCTGAAAGAAACTGAAGTTCTACAAAAAAGCTCTCAGAAGTTGCGAGAGAATCACTCTTGTCTTTTACAGGAAAAGGTTCTCATTCTCACTTATATAGTATTTCCCCTTCTTTTGGGGGGACAGGGATGAATGAGGAGGACCAAACTTGGCAGTTGAAGGGTTACTCCCAGTTCTGTGTTCAGGGGTCACTCAGTGGTGTGCTGAGTTGTCCAGTTCCTCCTCCTCTTCTTTTAAGGATCAGGTTGGTGAATACTAAGAATTGAGGAAAGTTATGATACAGAAGAACAATGGGACCATTTTTCTTTTATCTGCATGATCTTTCCTATCTACAAAGAGTAATTACCAGATGGGTTTAATAAACATTTGGTTTGGTTTTTATAAAGAAAATGGAGGTTAGGCAATTCCTGAGGGCAGAGCCAGGAGTAAGCCAGGAGTACTGCTGGATGAGGCTCAAAAACCAAAACCAAAACCAGAAGACTAGAAGGACTGGAGAGTGAGAACATCAGGTATGGTGCTTGCCTTGCATGCAGCCCACTCAGGTTTGATCTCAGTCACCTCATATGGTTGAGCAAAACCCACCCGGAGTGATTCCTGAGTGCAGAGTCAGAAGTAATTCCTGAGGGTATCCAGGTGTATCCTAAAAAAAAAAGTAGTATATATGAAATTTTATGGTATGTGTATATAGATGTATGTGTGTGTATTATAACACTCGTTTGTCCTTCCTCAGGTAGCTTAGGTTTGTCAGGTCACACCCATCTAAGGACACTGAACTTGTAAGCAATGTCCTTTCTGTGTGGACACAGGAAGACAGTTAATATTATGCTTTGTAACTTGGGAGTTGATTGACTCCGAACATATTTACTCCTAGGCATCTGATTTCTTGACTCAGTTGCCCTTAGTTCCTAGCACCCCCAAAGCAGGGTCCCGACGAGGGACTGAATGGACCCAGGGCAAGCGGTGAGCTACCCTGGCATCGAAATGGGCCAGGCCAAAGAGCCACAATACTCAACTATAGGTTGAGGGCATGATCATGGACAAATGCTGTCATGATCCAAAAGTAAGTAACGATGAGACTAGGACCCTGCTGGAGCTAGGAAGATTAACCTGGCCTGAGGACTGCGGAATGTATAGTGAGATGTTCTCAGGAAGAACCAAACTAAGTTTATATCTCTTACTGTGCTCATACAGAATGACATTGCTAGAAATATTAGAAGTAGATTTATTACAACTATTTAAGTAGATTACTAACTGAGGGAAGAACACACCCTTGTTGGGATCCCACCCTTGAGCGGATCTCCTAGTAATCTGAAGTAATCTCTGTAGATGAGATTTTATCCTTGAGTTAATCTCCTGGAGGAGTGGTCTTACCTCTCTTTGTTGATTCGTCAGTATTCAACCCACCTATATGTCACCGCCTTATGTGACTGCTATATAAACTAAAACGTAAGCTCGGAGAGATGAGAGTCAGAAGCGAGAGAACTCAGGCTCCAGAGATCCAGAGTCAGAGCCAGAAGGAGAGAGGTTCCAAGATTGGGGCCCAGGAGAGAAGGAGGCAGAGAAAGATAGGAGTGAAGAGGATTGGAATAAACTACTATATATATAGACCGGCCTGGCCCTCGGTTCTTCTTCCGTCTGCCCTTGGCCAACAGCCGTTCCGATCCAGGCCACACACAGCGGCTCAAGAGCACCGAACGCAGGCGGTGAGACAGTGCTATCCAGTGAGCCCGTGAACACACAACCTTCGGCATGATAAGATTTTACATGTGTGCATATATATTTATATATATGAGAAGGTCTAGGGATTTGACACAGTGGTAAAGCAATTGCTTTGGATGTATGAGGTCCTGGGTTTAATTCCTGGCACTGTGTGGTCCCCCAAGTAACACTGGAAGTTATTCACAAGTATTAAGCCTGGAGTGTCCCCTGAGCATTTCTGGGTGTGGCCCAACAACAAATAAAAACAAAAGCAGAAAATGCAACATATGAGAGCCCCAGGGAGATGACTTAAAGGGCTGAAGCACAAAGCATTCGGGAATGCTGAGTTTGATCCCCAGCTCCAGGGAGCTCCCAGACAGAGCTAGGAGTGACCTCAGGTGTGTATGTATGTTTATCTATATAAAATATATATAAAATATATATAACTTCTATCTCTGCCTTGAACACTAATTTAACTTTGCCTTGGGTTGGTTGGGGTCTAAATCACTTCAGCTGTAACTGTCCCAATACTCGTGGATTCACTGTACACAGGTTTACTTTCTCACCTAAGAGAAGTTTGAAGGTAAGCAATCCAGAGCTGGATATAATGGTAGCTCTGCTAAGGTAGCAGACCTGTCTGAAACTTGTGGATGCATCCTCAGTCTCCTCCAGGCCCACAACAGCTGCTAGGATCCTAACCATTGCTCAAACAAGGGGAAAGAAGGACAAGGAGGAAAAAAATATGTGCTTCCCTTTAGAGGTCGTCTTGGAAGCCTGCCGACATTTCTGTCCCATTGATCAGAACTTAGTTGCATCATTATGCTGATCCACGGGGGAGACAGGGGTGTTCAACTGGGCTTACAGCTGGGCTTTCTGAGTAAAATTGTGGTCTTTAGTCGCTAAAGAGAAAAGAGAAAATGGACACTGGGAGAGGCAACTAGCAAGCAGACTGCTGGTTTCCAGGATATCATTGCTAAATTGATGTTTCAAGACATAGCATTACTGCTTTTGGAATTATCTTTGTCAGGGGCAGGCATTGTTTGGCCACATCTAGCAAGTCTGTGAGGGATACTCCCAGCTCTGGGCTCAGGGGTCACTCCGAGAATTGCTGAGTCAAACCAGGATCAGTTGCACACAAAATCACAATCACAAATCATCCTGTTAATCGTCGATTGCCTCAAGCAGGCCCCAGTAATGTCTCCTTCATCCTAGCCCTGAGATTATATTCAAGGCTCTTTAGGAGAATGAGACCCATCATTGTTACTGGTATTTGGCATATTGGGTACGACACGGGGAGTTTGCCAGACTCTGCCGTGTGGGCAGGCTACATTCGGTAGTCTGCCAGTTTGTCCAAAGTAGGAATGAGATAATAAGATGTTGTAATAGGATGTCGCGCGGCCGCAAATGCGGCCGCGCAGTTCCAGAAGCTGGTTTTTATAGTTTCTGAGTCTTGGCCGTTGATGGGATTACACGGCGCCAGGGGGCCAGTTGGTAGGTGTGAAGTGGGTGGGAGTGAAGAAGCTGGCCAAGTTGCACACACTTTATTTATTTTTTAAATTTTTATTAGTGAAACACCATGAGGTACAGCTGAAGACTTACAAATTTTTGTGCTTGGGTTTCAGTTATACAATGATCAAGTACCCATCTCTCCACCAGTGCCCATTCTCCACCACCACTGATCCCAGTATCCCTCCCACTCCGCATCCCCCCCATCCCACCCTTCCTCTGTGGCAGGGCATTCCCTTTTGTTGCGTACACTTTAATCTCTGTACTATCTCTCTGGCCCAGGAATTATTTTTTTTGATAATTAAAAATACTTAACCTTTCAGATTTTATTATTTAAAAATTTTTCTTTTTCTTTTTTGTGAAGCAAGATCTTTTTTTTTTTTTTTTGGTTTTGGTGTTGGGGCCACACCTGGCAGTGCTCAGGGGTTATTCTTAGCTCTATGCTCAGGAATCATTCCTGGTAGTGCTCTGGGAACCATATGGGGTGCTAGGGATCAAACCTGGGTTGGCTACTTGCAAGAAAAGTGCCCTACCCATTGTTCTATCTCTCTAGCCCCAGGATCATTTTTATTGAAACTTATTTAGAAAGATGTGGGGAGAGGAGAGGAAGTACATGTTCAAGAGAAAACACAGGCTTCTATAGAGTAGAAATAAATAATAAAAGAAACAAAGACAAGCAAGTGAGATATGTATTCAAGGGCAAACATGGGCTTGAAGAGCGAGCCATAACCTTTCAGAATTTTAGAGGAAGGAAAGTATTAATGAAATCCGTCATCATATGTCCAGACAAGGACCCTGGGAAATTTTTCACATTCTGTTCATAGAATATCAAAATACCACCATCACCACCTTCCATCACACTCAAATCTCATGATGTGAGGGCAAGTTAATGAGAAACTCTCATATTACATAACTAAAAAAAAAAAATCTTACCTCTCTCTTTTTTTTTTTTTTTTGGTGTTTAGGAGATTAAAGATCTGTTGGTTAAGGAAAAGATTTTACAGCTTTCCCAGCAGAGATCACAGATACAAACTCTGCAGAAGAAAGTGACAACCCTGGAGAATGCCCTGACTTGTATGACCAAAGAGTTTGAGGCTGAAGTTTTAAGAGTGCAGCATCAGGCAATGATCGAGAACCAATCAGGTCAGGTTGAAATTGGCAATCTACAGCACCTTCTTCAGATGAAGGACAGGGAAATGAATCGAGTGAAGAAGCTGGCCAAGAACATACTGGACGAGAGAACAGAAGTGGAGGGATTCTTTTTAGATGCTCTACATGAAGTGAAGCAACAGATCCTACTTAACAGGAAGCATTACAAGCAGTTAGCACAGACAGCTTTCAATTTTAAAATGAGAGAGGCATGTGCAGGAAGATCAGAATATCCCAAAATCCGTACATTCAATGGCAAAATGCACAGCTCTAATAGTGTGAACCAGGATCTTGTGGAGGCTGAGAAATGGTACTAATGATGCTTTAATATTTTTATCTTTTGCATTGCTTATTTTTGTGCCCTTCAGAAGTGGAAGTTCAGTTTGAGGATATATAAGTATTGAGTAGGTTACTCAGTAAGTTCCTGGAAGATGGAGATTGATGGACTGTGCGCCTCCCACGCTTAGCATGGTGTGGGGGGGTCTCGCAGGTATCTTATCAGTGATCCTCCCCCCACCTTTTTTTGTGATTGCATGGGTTCTATTGCTGAGCCATTCCCTAAATGTGACAGAGAAGTTTTTTAAAACTGGGTAAATATAGTTTATTCGATCAGTTTATCCATGCTGTCTACAAAGGAAATCATCTTTGTGCATTTATTTTCTGTAGCTGCTGTGACAAATAATACATATTATTGGGGCCAGAGTGATAGTACAGTGGGTAAGGTGTTTGCCTTACACACAGCTAACCCTGCTTTTAAACATATATATATATATATATGCACATACATATGTGTGTGTATATATATATCACATATACATAAATACATATATGCATGTATATAAGGTAAAGGTAAAGGTAAAGGCCCTCCCGTTGATCATCGATTTGCTCGAGCGGGCCCAGTAACGTCTCCATTGGAGACTTTGTTGTTACTGTGTCTGGCATATCGAATACTCTCGGTAGCTTGCCGGGCTCTCCGAGAGGGGCGGAGGAATCAAATTCGGGTCGGCCATGTTGGCTGCGTGCAAGGCAAACGCCCTACCTGCTGTGCTATTGCTCCAGCCCAATGCATGTATATATGTGTATATATATATAGGAATGCCAGTGGAAGGAAGTTGACACTGGTGGTGAGACTGGTGTCAAAATATTATATTCCTAAAACTCAACTCAAGAACTGATAGTTGAGTTTTAGGAATATAATATTTTGACACCAGTCTCACCACCAGTGTCAACTTCCTTCCACTGGCATTCCTATATTCCCTCCCCACCCCCAGCTCCCACCCCATCAATCCCTGCCTGTCAACTTCATAGGCACATTACTAAGTTCCAGTGGTTGCAGCTTAGATCCCATGTTTTCAGTGTTGTTGAGTCTATATTTTGGATACACGGTTATACCACTCACCCATATCACCAGTATAACTGAAGCCCTGTTCACCAGGCTTCCCTTTCCCCTTTATTTCTTTATTCCTCTGTCCTTCTCCTCTCTAAAACTGGGGTCAAGGGTGATCCAGGCATTCCCCTTCACTAGAATATATGTCCTCATCCAGTACTCTGTATTCCACAGAATACAGTGAGATCACCCTGTGTTTATCCAACTCTTGAATCATTCGGCCTATATTTTCCTCATTGTTCTTTATAGTTTCTGGTCAGGTCTCAAGGTCTTTGATACATTTTGAATTGACTTTTCTGTGAAGTGTAAGATATGGATCCAGCTTTAATTTCTTACATGTAGTTATGTGGTTTTCCCAGCACCATTTGTTGAAGAGGCTATCTTTACTCCATATTGTGATCTCAACTCCCTTATTGAAAAATTAAGTGTCCATATATATATATGTATATATATATATATGTGGGGTTTTGTGTGACACAGACTTTTAAAAGAGACTAGATCATTTTTCTCATGGAATGTCATTGTATTATCTTTCTGTTTTAGTTTTTGGGCCATATGCAGCATGGCCATCAGGGCTGACTCCTGGCTCTTCACTCAGCGGTCACTCTTGGTGGGGCTTGGGGATTGAACACGGGATAGCCACATGCAAGAAAAATGCCCTACCTTCCCTAAAAATATGTTTTTAGATAAGCTATTTAATGAACATTAGGCAAATAAACTTCTAGAGAGAACTACCCAGATGACTTCTAAGCAGAAATATTTCTCTTTTTGTTTTGTTTTTGTTTTGGCGGGAGGTGGAGGGGCACACATGGCGGTGCTCAGGGCTTATTCCTGGCTCTGCTTAGGGATCACTCCTGAAAGTATTTGTGGAACTGTATAGGATTCTGGGGATTGAACGTGGGTCGGTTTTGTGTACCACAATCATCCTACTCGCTCTATTATTGCTCCAGTTCCAGGCAGAATATTTTTTGCATTTTACCACATCGGTGCTCTAAATTCTTGTCAGTTAGCTTTTGCTAATAGAGAACACACTATGCAGTCTCTGGGAAAGCTATAGCTCAGTTAGAAACCTGCTGGGAAAGCTTGGTTGTGACTGTAATTGGAGATAAGAAAACAGGCTAGAGGGATGGGAGTAACACCTGAGCATTGCTGGATATGGTTCAAAATATCAAAAACAAGAAAATAAAAAAAGAAAACAGGCTAGAGAATTTACATGATACTTTTGAAATTTTTCTTTTAACATTTTTCACTTCTGGGTTGTGGTGGAAGAGGAGTGGATGGTTTAGCCACACCCAGTGATACGAAGGGGCCATCCTTGATTCTGTGCTCAGAGTGACCCCTGGTGGTTCAGGGGATAGAACCAAAGTCCCAAACATGTCAGGGGCATGCAAGGTCTTACCTCCTGCGCAATCTTTCTCCAGGTCCTCCTTTTATTACTCTTTTCATAGCAAATGTCTAATACGAAAGAAAAGTTAAAAGAAATTTATTAGTATTCTTACCAAACTGTTTCATTTCTGTGTGTGTTTCTTTTGTGTATCTGGATATATAATGTTATGTCACAACTTTCTATTTTGCTGATTTGTTTAATGATTGAGTTGTTATAATTTTCTTGTGATCACATATTTTATATTTTTCTTGAAAAGAAGAAATGGGGAACCAGAGCAATAGTGCAGCAGGTAGTGCACTTGCCTTGCATGCTGCTCACCTGGGTTTAATTCCTGGCACCACATATGGTCCCCTGAGCCCCATTAGAATGATCCTGGAGCACAGAGCCAGGAATAAGCCCTGAGTACTGCAAAGTGTGGTCCAAAAAACAAAAGAGAGAGAACTGCGGGGGTAGGGGGGAGAGTGAGAGAGGAGGAGGAGAAGGAGAAGGAAGATAGAGGTTAAATTATATCGCCGACCCCAGTTTGATCCCTTGTACCACCCTGCCCCTTCCCTCTCACTGCTGGGACCAGAAGTACGCCCTCGGTATGCTCACAAACCAATAAACTAATAAGTTAATTTAAATTAATAAGGCGATGTACTTACTCTGACTACAGTTTTCTTTTTACTTTTTTTAAAATTTAGGATAAATATCCAAGGAGATGTGGATATTGGAGATTTGACATGGGAACAGAAGGAGAAGGTCTTGCGATTACTCTTTGCAAAAATGAATGGTTTTGTTCCTAGGTAACTAAGTGAAATACCAAGTTTTTATCAATCCTAGAAAATATAGAGGAGCAATGGACTTTTTTTTCACTTAGAATGAAAGGAATTGGAAAGGAACATAAAAATACAAAAGGATTGGGCCAGAGAGCTAGTACTCAGGAAGGCACTTGCCTTGCATACAGCTGACCTAGGTTCAATACCTGGCACCATGTATGGTCCCCTGAGTACTACCAGGAATGGTTCCTGAGTACAGAGTCAGATTTAACCCTGAGCAGCACCAGGTATGGCTAAAAACAAAACAAAACAAAAAAGGAAAAGAAAAAATAAATGGTCATACTTAGCTACTGTGACTCTCAGAGCTAAAGAATGGGCTGAATGAATGGGAACAAAAACAAAATGAATTCAAATTCATGGGAGGGAAAAAGAGAGAAGAAGAATCTTAAAGTTTAAAGATAATGCTTGCTAAAGAGGTATAATATTGCTTAGCTGAACTAGGAAGTATAGCATTACAATTATTAGAATCTAGTGGTTTCAACGATAAAATAACACGTGTGTGTGTGTGTGTGTGTGTGTGTGATGCTGGAGATCAAACCCAGAGCTTCAAAGATGAAGGACATGCATCCTACTGGTTGAGCCATGTCATGGTTTTATAAATGATTTTTTTCTGGGGGGTCGGGTGGGAAGTTTTGGACCACACACTATTTATTTTCTGTATTTATTTATTTTCTGTGTTTCTGGTTTCTGTGTCTATTTATTTTCTGTGTTTCGGGTTGTTCCTGGTTATGCTTACTCACAGGGGGAACTCATAGTGTTTGGGACTGTATCAGGGTTGGCCACATGTGAGGCAAGTAACTTTACTCCTGTACCATCTCTTTAGCCCTGTCCTGTTTTCTGTTTGTTTGTTTTGTTTTGTTTGTTTTGCTTTTGGGGTCACACCCGGCAATGCACAGGGGTTACTTCTGGCTCTGCACTCAGGAATTACTCCTGGTGGTGCTCAGGGGACCATATGGGATGCTGGGAATCAAACCCAGGTTGGCGCATGCAAGGCAAATGCCCTACCCGCTGTGCCATCGCTCCAGCCCCAATGTTTTGTTTTTTTAAGAGAGGAACACCTGGTGATGCTCAGGGATTACTTCTGATTCTGCACTCAGAAATAACTCTTGATCAGTTCTCAGGGTCCATTTGATATGTCAGGGATTGAACCTGGGTTAACTGCATGCAAGATGAGTGCCATACCTGCTGTACTATCCCAGCAACAAAACAAAACAACAGAAAAAAGTTAGGCGACATCATGAACTACAGTTGGAGTTCAAGCAGTGTGTCAGTGGGTAAGAGAGTAGCCAGGAAAGTATTTCCTGGCTATGGCTCTGTGGGTCTCTGATAGTGTCATGGGACAGAAATAGGGGAATGGGACATCAGGCAAAGGGCCCAGTAGACAGCCTAAGCCCCAAGACACAAAGGGAGTAATAGATGAACATTGACTGCATAATTTTGGGAAAAACCTGCCTGGGTTGAGGAAATTTGGTGATGCTACAGAGATAATTAGCAATTAAAAATAAGGCACAGGTTATGACAGCCTTCAAAAGTGCAGAAAAGCCGGAATATGCTATGCAGTTGTTCAGGTTGTTTTAAATCTATGACTGCATAGATTTAGTCTTGCAGATGTATATTTAGTTGATTTAGTCATATTAATCTGGTCCCGGTAGGGGTAGGGTGGGTCTTCTGTGCGTAATTCGATCCCTGGGTCTCTGGTGGTTGGTGGAAGCAGACAGAGCAGGGTAGGGTGGGGCTCCTGATTATAATCCCTTTGTCACCTGTGGTTGGTGGGAGCAAGCAGAGAAGCTCTGTCCCTGGGTCCGCTGAGCCTGGAGTCCAAGGTCTCAGAGAGTTCCGCTTATCTTGTTCTGTGGGTCTTCAGTCGTGCGTGAGTCTCGGCCAGAGCTGCCACGCGGGTCCGGAAAGCAACATGTTTTTCTCTTTGTCATGAAGAAATACAACATACAGCAACCCTGCTCTCATTTTCTCTCACAGCCAGGAGCAGGGTTATTATTCTGAGCTGACCCTAGTCCAGTAACCAAGTGGTGGATGGGGGGACAGATAATGGAGCCAGGGAAAGCAGTAGAAGCTGTTGTACTATTCTGGGTCTGCAGTGGTGAGGGGCTTAGGGAAGAGTGGAAGAGGTCACTAAAAAAGACACTTAAGGAAGGAAAAAAGAAGAAACTGATGATTAAGGACAAGAAGAATAAAAAAATTAAAAAGGAATAAAAGTTTACATGTTTTAGCTTAAATGAAAAATTATATGGGGCATGAGAGATAGTATATCAGGTAAAGAGCTTGCCTTGTAATTGGCCAACCCAGGTTTGATCCCTGGCACCATATATGGTTCTATGAGCTCTGCTTGGGATGATTCCTGAGCACAGAGTCCAGAGTAAATCTTGAGCACAAACAAACAAACAAACAAACAAGATTATGGTGTGAAAAGCAAATGGAAAATTTGAAAAACAAGTTTAAGAAATTTTGAGTTTTATTTTGGGGCCAGAGAGATAGTACAGGGGTTAAGGTGCTTATCTTGCATGCAGCCAAGCCCAGTTCAATTCCTAATCCTCAGTCCTCTATATAGTGTCCTGAGTATGGGTGGAAGTGACCCTCAGCACACAGCCAGGAGTCACCCCTCAAGCACGGCCTGATGCATGGCCCCCAAACCAACCCTCCCCACCAACTTACTTAATCCATCCATTTAATTTAATATGAACCTCTTGGTGAATGAAGGTAGAAGAGTAAAAGAGCTGGTTAGAACCTTTAGAAATTACTACTATATTTTCAAAGAAGTGTATAAGCAAGTGAGTTTAAATAATGTAGATTCAATGTAATCTTTAGTGTAAGGTAACTTTTCTGTACCCAGGAAATAAATACAGCCAGAATTCTTGGTCTCAGGTATTTATACAATGTTAGTGTAAACACTGGAGAAACAAAATTGAAACATCTTTCACACCAAACTTGAACCTGCACACTGTAATGAGTGATTTTGGACTCTCAGGCTTGGGCTGAGTGAAGGAATGAACAACAAGCGAGGAACTGAATAGAACAGTGAAATATTTCCTCCCTGTCCTGCCCTTCCAACTTGTACAACTGAGGATTTCACACTGGCTGTGGTGCACACTGGGGGATGCAGACTGGGTTGCATGCCTTCCAGTCGCAGTGCCCACACACACTTGGGGAGGCACGTACTTTGTGGTGGCACCAGGGACCACAAATAGTAGTGCTTCTGGGATTACACTCAGGTATGTAGTACCAAAGACACCACGTGAACATCAGCACCAAAGGCTGAATTTGTGGGCTGGAGTGATAGTAAAGCTGGCAGGGTGTTTGCTTTCACGTGGTTAGCCCAAATTTGATTCCCTGGTACCTCAAATGGTCCCTCTAGCACCTCCAGGAGAGATACCTGTGCATAGAGCCAGGAGTAAGCCTTGAGCACTACTAGGTATTCCCCTCCCCCACCAAGAAATGCAACAAAACTAAAGATTGAACTTGTGGTCTAATGTCTAGAGTAAGGCAGGAGGCACTCTACCACAGAGCTATCCCTGGACCCCTAGAATGGTGAAATGTTGAGGCCAAAAAAAAAAGATTAAATTAGAAAGGAGATTAAATTGGAAAAAAAGGAAGCTTCCAGAGTGGGGATGGAAGTAGATAATACAAGGTCTACCAAGGCAGGTGGAGTAATAAGGAAATTGGTAGGGCCACACCTGGCAATGCTCAGGGTTTATTCCTGTCTCTGCACTCAGGAATCACTCCTGGCGGTGCTTAGGAAACCATATAGGATGCTGGGGATCAAATCAGGGTTGGCCACATGCAAGGCAAACATCCTACCCACTGTAATATCACGACTCCACAACATTATATATACACATATATTTACGTGTGTGTGTGTTATGTATGATGGAACAAAGAAAATTAATTACATACAATACATGCAATAAACTTCTTTTTTTAGGGGGAAGTGCAGTCTTTTTTTTTCTATCCTGCTAGTACTTGGGAGGCTGGTGATGAGTTCTGGGGATCAAACTAGATCCCTATGCATGCTAAGCCTGTATTCCAGCCCTTTGAACTAGCTGTACTCGGCCTTAATCTTTACTTGGTAGTACATCAGCTGCCACTCAGCTATAACTCAAACACTAGTAATATCTAAATTTAGTCTTTGTCATGTAACACTATTAGACTATTTAATATGATTATTCATGGGGTTATGTTACTTTCATATGAACCTAATTGAGGATGAATATTGGGAAGGGGAGTTGTGTCTATCTGCTGGCAAATCAGTGTACTATATTTTTATAATTATATTAGTTTACTTTCAGAGTATTAGATTGATTATATGTTTATTTTCTCTTAACTAAACTTTCCAAAGAATAAAAGGAAATTTTCATATTGAAGAAAATTTTCACATTGGTTCTATTGCCATTGGAAAACCTGTCTGTGTTTTGAGAAAGGAAATTTTTCTGGCCATGTTTGGTCAGTATACTAATCCAACCTTGCTTTGCTCATCACTATTAACTGTTGTGTATTAACATTTAATGATCTCAGCTTTTAAGAGTATATGTTTATTTTATTTTTTGAGTATATGTTTGTTTTAACTTGCCTAACAGCCTTTTATGTCTTTTTTTACTAAAAGCTCAGTTTTGAAAATAAGAAACCTATTTTATTTAGCATGTATTGTTTTATTTAGTATTTTTTAACACTTTAAGCACTGAAATGTTTTATTTATCACTTTTAAAATGTAACTGGGAGCCTGGAGAGGATAGGGTGCTTCCTTGCACGTAACTTATCAGATTTGATCCCTGACACCTCATATGGTCCTTCTATCCCTGCCAGAAGTGATCCCTTAGCTCCGAGCCAGGATTAAGCCCTTAAACCTTGCTGGTGTGGTCCCAACCTCCCCTTCTCCACCACAAAATATGTAACTGAAGGGGCCAGAGCAAGAGTAGAGTGGATAGGGCACTTACCTTACATGTAACTGACCCAGGTATGATCAGGAGTAAGTTCAAGACAGGAGTAAGCCCTGAGCATTGCCTGGTGTGGTTCCAAAACAAAAACAAAGTGTAACTGAAATATATAGCACAAGAAGACAATGCCTAATTGTACAACTTCTGCCATTACAGGAAAAGAAGCCAGATCCGTAGGTCTTCAGTGCCAGACTATGTTGTTCCTGATACTGTAGAAACAGAGGACACTGGGTAAGAAGCTCTCTTGGCAATTCAATGAACGTGAACCTAATCACGCCAGTCATTGTAGAAATCTTACCTGTGCTATCAATGAGAAAAGTAGAACACGTTTGCTCTGAATCAAGGATGTGTGGTTGTTGACAAGCCTCTTACTGGTCTTTACAGGGATGAAAGTAAGCTTCAAGACCAAACCTTCATCACCCAACAAGTGCCACTCTCACACCCTTCTGATGAACTGGGAATGAAAGAATCACAAGATTCTCCCATAGTAAGGAGTTTGAAATCTAGCTAAGCAATAATACGTGAATGTTATCCTTCTCCAAGCTGCTTCTTGTTAAGTCACAGTTCTCTACTCTCCTGCTCTTAGAGATCAGTTTAATAACAGTGTAAGATTGTAGATATCTCTCTGTGTGTGGTGCTTGTACAAGCAATGTGTATCCCTTACCATTAAGCTGCATCCCATTTCCAACCTGTGAGGACATTTGAATTTTATTTACTTTGGATTTGGGGACCACACGTGGTGGTGCTTAGTGGAAACCAATGGTAGTGCATAAGGGACCACATATGGTGCCGGGGATTGAACATGGGTCAGATTATCTCCGGTCTTTGTGAATATTTTAATTTTATTTAAAAATTTAAAAAAATTATTTTTGTTTTTTGGGGGCCATAACCAACAATGCTCCAGGGTTAATCCTGGCTCTTTGCTCAGGAATCACTCCTGACATTGCTCAGAGGACCATATGGGATGTTGAGGATGGAACCCGGGTCGACTTCATCCAAGAAAAAATAGTACAGCAATATTCAAACTATAGGCAATTGAAAAATACCTACATGTGCTTAAGAGTGTAGAAAACAATGTTTTTCAAAAATCCAACCTTACTCTGAGCTTTAGTCAGAGTACTGTAATTGCCTTTTGCAATACCCAATCTAGCCAAAATATGTACCTTTTACTTAGAATAAACATGATGACTATGTAATTCCTTGTTGATTCACTATAAGCTAGGGAATTAAGAATGCAGAGGTCAATAGTATAAAAGATAGGGAGGGTACTTGTCCTGTAAGCAGTTAACCTGAGTTCAATCCCTAACACCACATGTGGTCCCCCGAGGCCTACCAGGGGTGATCTTTGAGCAGAGGACCATGAATAAACCCTGAGGACTGCTAAGTATGGCCCAAAAGCAAAAGAGAGTATAACACCATTAAAAACAGAAGCCATATGTTCCTTTAAATTATTTAAAATTTTATATTTATAATTACCCCATTGCAGAAGCTGAGAAATTTCAAATGAAGTCACTTTGAAAGCAAAAATAAAATGCAGAAATTTTATCTGCACTAAGTATGTACCTAAAACTACTGTATAGTTTTTTTTTTTCTAAGAAATGAGACTTTCTGAGCTGCCAGCACCAGCCGGATGAGTTGATCTTGGGGCCAGAGCGATAGTACAGTAAGTTGGGCATTTGCCTTTTGAACGTGACTGACCCAGGTTTGATCCCTGGCACCCCATATAGTTTCTTGAGTACTGCCAGGTGTGATACCTGAGCACAAAGCAAGGAGTAAACCCTGAGCACAGCTGGGTGTGACCCAAAAAAACAAAAATAGAAACACAAACACCCCAAAAAAAACAATCCTGCTTAATCCTGCTTAAGGGAAAAAAGGCAATTTCCCTTAAATGTAAGGTCAAACTCTGATTATGTGAAATTCCACTTGGTATGTAGACAGTACAATCTTTCATTCAACCCAGACTATATTTTGAGTTAAGTAACATTACTACTTGCCAGTCAGATGTGATAAAAAAAATAAAGCAGGGGCTGGAGGGACAGTACAGGGCTAAGACACTTGCTTTGCACTCAGTGAACCCGAGTTCAATCCCCATCATTCCATTTGGTCCTCCGAGCACTGCCAGAAGTGATTTCTGACTATCGCAGGATGTGGCCTCATGACCAAAAAAAGAGAAAAGGATAAAAGAAAGGAAATTTTATTACCAAGTTAAAAGTTTCTGTTGCCTCACCTTGTGGGAAAAAAAAAACCCAAAAGACTTAAATATAAGGGTCATAAATATATTTTATTAGAGTTCCAGTCACCTCATTGATAATTCTGAATTCTAACCATCAGGTGGTAACAATCAGCCTAAAATCCAGAGTGCACAAATGTTTTCGTGATTTTCACTACTCGATTCACTGAACCCCCCTCCCCCCGCCCTGGAGCAAGTTAGTATTATCCATATCACTAATGAGGAAACAGAAAAATGAATAATCTGTGTCCTCTGCCTGAGGGCCTGACATGACTCTCGGAGCCAGCAGGCTTCTTTTCCTAGATCACTGAGTAAAAGCAGAAAGACAGGTGGGACAAAAGGAGAGAGTCTATTTTGTTCGGCACATCAAGTTCTGTTGTGACTTATTGTTTAGCTGTACCAATGACAGCTAAATTCTTGACACAAGAACCTGCCAAAGAATTTCATTTTAACTACTTTATGCCATGAAAAGTTTTGAGTTTCTTAGAACCTCATGAATTACCATACATTAAACATTCTTTCATAGAATTCTTAGTGATACTTTTTAAAATGTCACTAAGGAGAAATGCAGGCAGGAGGAAGAACATAAAAAATCCAGCAAGTAATGTTTTGGTAAGACTTGAGGAAGACAAGACACTTGCCAACTCTGATGGCTGAAACACCCTTAGGCGTCTAGGCCTAAAATAAAGTTTGAAATAGTTTTGCAAGAAAAGAAAGGAAAGGAAAAGAGAGAGAGAAATCCTTATTTGCATCTGAATTATTAATTGTTCATCAAATCTGAAATGTAACTCTTGGACACAGACACATAAAAAGCCTTTTACCAGCGCAGACTGATGTATGTATCCTTGAGTAGCAGGTACAACAACAGAGGCATATCAGTGGTTATGAAACATTAAGACAAAGTGGCATTCAGCAGGAGAGAGAAGCAGCTGTCCCATTTGGGATAAGTGAACATGAATTCTGTGTATTATGGGATAAATGAGAAGCTCTGGAAGGGTTGGCACGAGGGCTCTCTCCTGCCGGCACTTATATAGGACCGTGTTTGTGGATTGACCAAAGTATAATTCCTCATATTGAGGTCCTCTTCCAACTGTTGGAAGTTCTTTTATTTCCACCAATCTTCCCTTCCTCCAAGGCAACAGAAGAGAGGAAAACTTTTAGAAAACAGGTTTACGCTCACATTCCAGATAAGCATTTCACTGTTATAACAATTACTTTAAAAAAAAATTTTTTTTTTAAAAAAGAAGAGAAGAAGAAAGAGTAAGGGAAAATCTGGTATCAAAGTTATACATACTGGGTGTCTCCCTTGAGCAACTTTGCAGGGACTAATGGTCCTGGGAAAGATTTTTAGTTATAAGATACTCTGATCCCAGGGATCTGATTTGTGCAAAGTTGGCAAATGAAGAGTACAGGGAGAGCACTCAGGATGGATTGAGTCTGGATCTATCTTGCTCCTAACGGCCCATGGTAGGCATGACGACAGCAGGTGAGGAAAGAGTAGCATCCTCTTCTTTCCACTGAGAAGTGATTGTCTTTAGCTGAGTATAGAACTGGATGCCCTAAAGACAACGAGGGAAAGAGAAAGAGAGAGAGAGTTAGCATTCAGGGTTTCATTATTTCTCTTTTAATTATAGCTTTTGGAGGAGGGGCTGTGAACACTACATATTTTCCTGCTTGAGAAATAGGTATAATCGAAATTCTATATATTAGGGCTGAAGAGATTGCTCAGTGGGCTGCATGTTTGCTTTGCATACAGATCTGATTTTGATCTGGCACCACATGTTTTCCAGAACATCCAAAAACTACACCGCACAATACTACACACACACACACACACACACACACACACATGCACACACATATATACACATATATACACATATAGGTGTGTGTGTGTGTGTGTGTGTGTGTATATATATACACAAATAAAATTCAAAGTTCATAATTGGTGGTGAGGGGGTTGAGGGTTCGGGTCATACCCAGCAGTTCTCAGGGCTTAGTCCTGGTTCTGTGCTCAAGGGTCATTCATGGTGGTCTTCACGGCAGGTTAAGGCAAGAGCCTTAACTCCTATATTATTATTCTGCACCCCAATATATTGCTCATGAGCCAGTCTACATAAAAAACTTGAACAGAATACCTGTCAAATCTTAAGAGAATACCTAAGTCAAACTCAGTGAAAACACTGAGGACTGAAGACATAGTACAATGTTGGGCTTATCCCCAACACCACATGTCTCCAACATACCCTTGGGAGCAACCCTCTAGCACCATGCCAGGAATAGCCCCTGAGCAGTGCCCCCAAACCAAAATAAAAACAGACAAAAAAAAAAAAAACCCCTTGCATCCTTGAAAAATACTGTTAGAAAGAAATAGAGGAGCCTGATTAAATAAGCTCCTCTAGAATTATTTGTAAAAATCTGATAATAATATTAGGGATTATCTGATAATAATATTAGGGATTATTACATACTTTTTTTCCTCCCTTTTCTTATTTTTTGTTTCGGGGCCATACCTGGATTTGCTTAAGGCTTATTCCTGGCTTTGTGCTCAGGGATCACTCCTACATAGCTTGTAGTGGTGGGTTAGAACCTGGTTTAGCCATGTTCAAGATAAGTGTCCTATCTGTTGCTCTAGACCAAAATTCACTGTTATACTTATAAAGCCTGATAATTACCAAGTATAATGTTGAATACAATGGGGAAAAAATTTTATAAATAACTTAATGAAGAAATTTCTGTGAACTTTTACTTTTTTCTAGGGGACTTAGTTACAAGCACTTTGGAACCACATGACCCCCACAGAAGCCACTGGCACACCCAGATTTCTTGCTGAATCTTGTTCCTGAATATGTTCAAGAAAGTTTCTCAGAGGAAAAAAAAAATTTTTTTTTTAAACTTAGACTTACCTGTTTGCCATAAAAATTGGTGTCACCTCTGAATGAAGAACGAGAGCCGGTGAATGAGAACATTGGCAAAGGCACTGGAATGGGGACATTCACACCCACCTAAAGCAGAACAAATCCATTAAGGATCCTGACAAACCAACTCTCCATTTAGAAGCACAGAGACTTGGCATCCGGCCAAATTTTAAATATCCACCTTCCACCCCATTCTTTCCCTCTCAGAAATTCCTATCCCCGAGGAAGAAATACAGGACTGCGAGGAATAAGGAGGCAGTGACTGGTCACTGTTCACTGTGTCCCTTTAGGCAGGAATAGAGAACCTTCTTAAAAACAGCACACGGACCTGTCCTACATCCACCAGGTGTGAGTATTTCCGAGCAGTGGCCCCGTTGGTGGTGAAGATGGCTGTTCCATTCCCATATGGGTTGTCATTCACAATCTTGATGGCTTCATCCAGAGTTTCTGTTTCCAGAACCACAAGAACTGGACCAAAAATCTCCTCTTTGTAACAGGTCATATTTGGCTGCCAGGTGCGATGCATCCAGAAAATATGTCAGTATTTCATGCTTTTCAGTATTTCATTGCAAGTTTACAAGTACAGCTTTCATATTAATAATCTCTTTTCACTTAAAAAATCATTTTAATGACAAAAAAATCACCTATTTAAAGAAAAATCACATTGCTGTGTTCCAAGATCTAACAATCATATAAACAATCTGAAATTTTAGTACCACAACTATACTCCTCTTAAGCATTGTATTTTCAGATCCTATCACTAGGTTCCTCTTTAATATCAATAACCTTGTGCATGCAATTGCCATGATACTGAAAAGAGAAAATTAATTTTTATAAATCAAATATATCAAACACAACAGAATTTCATGTATGTTCAAAGAAACTGTGCTCAGATTTCTGTAACACAACAAGTATTCTCATTCTTCCTTTGCCTCCCAAATGAGTCTATGCATTTATATTCTAAGATGAGATCACATTAAACATTCACTAGTTAGCTGTATTGGCTGCTGCTAAGTGGATTTTTCCTCTATAGTTCTGTGGTAAAATTTAATAATTTTTACTACACTTAATTTAATTTTCAATTATTCAGGATTGATTGGATTAGTGGGGATATACACATTTTTAAAAAGTCTCCTCAAGTCAATTTAGTCATTAATTTTAACTGAGAGACCTACAGTTTTTTTAATAAATAAAATATGACAGACCAATTTTTCTTTTGTCACTTTCTGGTGGAAGTGTAGCTGAATTTTGGGCACAGAATAGGTATTCAATAAATATTGTGTTTGGCCTGGAGTGGCCCCAGCCAAAACTACCTCCCAGGTACTCCCCCACTAAATAAGAACCCTGGGTGGTTGATAGCTTGATGGAGATACTGCGGAAGTTGTAACAGTAAACAACAAGAACATAAGACAGGGATTAGCAAATATGGTTCACGAGCTGAATGTGCCTTGATGTTTATTTCTGGATAGACCACAAGCTAGGAATAGTTTATACATTAAAAAAACTTTGGGGTGGGGGAAGAGGTCAGGAGTAGTGACTCTTGGTGGTGGCGGGCTATGGGGTTTGAGGTGGGGGTACCATACGTGGTTCCAGGGATTTGCACCAGGGCTATCTGCATGCAAGGCAAGTACCTTACCTTCTCAACTTATCTCTCAGGTTCCACTCCATTTTTATTTTATTTTATTTTATTTTGCTTTTTGGGTCACACCCAGCGATACTCAGGGGTTACTCCTGGCTCATGCACTCAGGAATTGCTCCTGGCGGTGCTCAGGGGACCATATGGGGTGCTGGGAATCGAACCTGTGTCAGCCATGTTGGCTGCGTGCACCTTACTTGCTGTGCTATCGCTCCAGTCCCCATCCACTCCATTTTTAAATGGTTAGAAAATGACCTAAAAATTACATGATACTAAACTTTCATTCTCTATAATTTTTTTTTGAAAAGGGGTTGGGCCACACCTGGAAGAACTTGGGGGACCATATGCAGTGCTGGGATTGAAGCTGGGTCAACTCTAACTTTCCAGCCACCATATATAAAGTTTTATTGGCAAATAACCACATTAGTGGCACTTTTCTCACAAAAACATTATGGTTGAGTAATTGTGACAGAAGAGAGAGATTGATTGATCAATAATTTTTATTTACTTTTATTTTAGAAATTTAACCGCTGGTATATAAAACTCTAGGTAAGGGCTGGGGAGATAGCTCAGAGGTCAGGGTATATGCTTTGCATGGGCAAGGACCCAAGTTTAATTGCCATCATGACAAGGCCCCCTCAGAACCACTCTGAGTACCTCCTGACTGGTCAGTGAAATTTTCCTGCTTGGGAGGCACCCGTCCCCCCTAAAAAATAACTCTAGATAAAATAGTGAACTGAATAATCCAGGAAGAAAGGAGTTCACTAGTCACTAAATGTCTTCATTTAAAAATTTAGAAGCAAGACTCTCTAAAGAGCCTTAAGTTTTCATATTTATGAAATAATCTAGTTGTTCACCTTGACTTTTGAGATGATGGTTGGTCCAACAAAGTTGCCATTTTCATAGCCTTTGACTTTAATTTTTCGACCATCAAGAAGAAGGGAAGCTCCCTCCTTGGTTCCACTATCAATCAGATTACACACTCGCTCTTTGGCCTGTGGGGTGATCAGAGGACCAAGATCTGCTCCAGGCTGGTCTCCTGGAAATCAACAGGAAGTATTTAAAGGGTCTCATTAACATAAATCATGACTGCTAACAAAAGATGAATCCAGAAAATGAGCACAGCATAAAGAAAGACAAGAATAGCAAATGTGATGGCTCCTCCTGGGTTGGGACCAAATCTCAAACAAGTCATTTTCCAAGTCATTACCTGCATTGACTTTCAAGTTTTTGGCACGTTCCACTAAGTCAGGCAGCCACTTCTTAGCTTCTCCCACAAGGATCGCCGTGGAAAGAGCCATGCAACGCTGGCCAGCAGCTCCAAAAGCCGCCCCAACCAGCTGATTCAGAGTATTTTCCTTATTGGCATCAGGCATGACTACCCCATGGTTCTTGGCTCCCTAAGAGAAAAATACAAAGTACATGAAATTTCCTTGACAAAATACAATAAAGTTAGGAAATTAAGCAAAGAACTTGAGATTTCAAACGAAAATTTAAAGAACTAGAGAACCATTTGTCCCTTTGTTGCCTCCCCTTTTTTTTTGGGCAGCAGGGAGAGGGGGCGCATACCTTGCAATGCTTAGGGGTTACTTCCTGGCTTTGCACTCAGGAGTTACTGCTGCTGGTGCTTGGGGGACTCTACGGGATGCCAAGGATTGAACCCAGGTCAGCCACACACAAAGCAAACATCCTATCCGCTGTAGCTATACTAGATGTCTCCAGTCACTTTTTTGTTGTGTTGAGAGTAGATTATCATTTTGATATCACTGAAGTCTTGAAACTATTGAGCAAGTCTCTAGATTGCTTTTTTTTCAGCTGAAAAACTGATATTTGTTACCATAAAATAATATACAAAATCTCACAGCCTACTTAACAAGCTAAGCACTATCCAGGCACCAAGGACAAGTTTTCTTTTTCTTTTTTTTTTTTTTTGGCAATACCAGGGCTTACTTCTGAACTCTGCACTCAGAGATCACTCCTGGCAGATTTGTGGGATCATACTGGGTGCTGGTGTTGGAAACTGGTTGGCTGCATGCAAGTTCCCTACCTGCTGTACCTCTAGCTCCTCTTTTCTGAGTGAAAGAAGAAAGAATTTGTCTACAGGGGTTTCCCAGTTATATGAGAAGAATTGTAAACAGCTTCAAAAGCTGGAAGATAGGCATAACAGGAGAATTGATAAATATTATTTATGAATAAATTTATCAAAAAATAAATATTATTTATCAACAGAACAATTGATAAATATTATTTATAGAGATTTCTCATATTGTCCTGTTTCCAGAAACAGCCTCATATGTCTTTTTCCATGTAGAAATGATATAGTGATACAGGAAGAGAATGTCTACAGTGAAAAATTTCTGGTATGGAATGTTATATGAGAACGAGCCCAGGATATGCACCTGGCATACAAAGATAATCCTCTAAAACATGCTGCTCGGTGATATGGTGCCGCCAGCAGGTCAATCTGTACCTGTGAGGTGAGTGCATCAGTAGCCTGATGGCACCATCAGACTTTCAGATACCCCAAAATTGCTGCTGTGCCTCTGGCCAGACCCCAAAAACTTGGGGCAAAGTTTACCAAGAAAGTAAACGGCCAAAAGTTAGGTATGTGGGAGACACACCCACAAACCACCTTGGGCTCAGCTATATAATTGGAGGCATGGCCTCTCTGATCGAACTGCTTAACAGCCAGGATCCCAGAGACTCAGAAACAAATCTTGGAACCTAAAGGCTTTTGGCAGAAATGTGTCCTGTTCCTGCAATAGGTTACTGGCGCTGGGCCACTCCAGGTGGGAATAGGTTTCGTGCCTTGGCCTGTTCCCCCTGGTAGCCCGGTGACTGTCATCCTCCAGAGGCCACTGGACAGTCCGCTTTGGGCCTGCAGTGACGAGACACATGGAGCCTCACCAGATGGGGATGGAACCGGCCATTTCTTCCCCATCCCAGCGAGACCCCGAATTGCCACCTACAAACGAACTCTCTGGCTCCTAAACAAGCTGATTAACAGCCATGATTCCAGGGACTCAGAAACAAATCTCGAAACCCAGCGGCTTTTGGCAGAAATGCATCTGGACCACATACAAGGTGGCAAGCCACCTCAGAGCTTATTGGAAAGCCAGGTATGAGCCAGCAGTGACGGGGCAACTGCAGTCTCATGGGAAGGGGGACGGTACTGGCTCGTCCTTCACGCCCTACAAAGGTCACGAGTTCCCCCCCACGAGTGGCTCTCTGGCACAGCCATAACACCAGACACACGGAAACCAATCTCGTAAT